GTCCGAATGAATTGAAAAAGAATGAAGTATTAAGAAAGATATACTACAATGACGAATGTGTCATTGTTTAATTGAAGAAGATAAATTTAAGATAATTGAAATTTAAAACAAGAAATAAAGCATAAAATAAGAAATAAAAAGAAAGTAAAAAGTAGTTAATTAAGTGTTAACAGAACTTGTGTCTATTGTTCTGGCTAGAGAAGATTAATCCCGTCAATGAATCTTCATCTATCAACTCTATTGAGTGTGTTTGGTTGTGGTAGAATCAGTGTTCTATGACATCCATCATGTTTTTAATTACATGGTTTTTGATTTCTATAATGATGTCAATTTCGATTTTTAATTATTTAATTATTTTAATACTTTCAAAATTTATTAACCCATTAATCGAAATTACTACTCCAATTATTTTGACATCTTTTAATTTCTCTATTTTCATTACCCTATTTTTCACTTCCTTATACATATTTCTTTTATTCAAATACCCTCCATTAATATTATGATCTGCAACAATAGTCATATCAATTATTAGACCAGTTTTATTCTTTTTATCTAGTACATATATATCTGGTCTTTTATGATATTGGTAATTATTTTTGATATTATTTGTTTGTTCAATATCATAGTAATGTCGTTGTATTGGAATATTGTTTCATATGGGGGTTTCTTGTATTGATTATTTAATGTGTATTTTCTTATTATCCCATATGATGATGCCAATATGGTCATGTTTCTCAATTTGTGATTTCTTATGACAAATACAAGATAGTAGAATGTGTTCTACTGTGGATATCTTGTATTTACAAAGTGGGTAGTACTTTAATCTTTCATTTTTTAATATTTATCTTTCCTGTACCCACTAAATATTATTCCATCTTGTATTTTAGTTAATTGAAGGAATGCATTTTTCTTTATATTGATTGACTTCCATGCATTTATTGAAGTAGTTTTATCTACAAATTTTGACTCGAACCATCTTCTAAAATGTCCACTTGTTTGATTTCTATTTTTTGATGTATTTGTTGGTCATTATTTTATTTATTTTTAATACCACTTCTTTTTTATTTTCACTTCATTTATTATTTCTTCTATTTGAGTCTCTGTGATTTTATGACTTAGTGCTTTTTTAATTCTATTCAATATTCATTTCTTGGAATACCATCTATCTAATATGTTATTTCTTATTTCACTCATGTACATTAGTACATTACTGTTCTAATTATTTCATTAACATATTCGTCAATTAGGCTTATTAATCATTCACCCATTTCATTTATATTGACATATAGACGGTCTTTGGAGTTACAACAATGTATTTTGCCTTTCTTAAATATTTTCTTATCTCCAAATCCATTCTATCTAGGTCAGTTACATTCCAATTTACTACTGATGCTGAATATCTGAAGATTGGTATTACTTCAGTATTAATTCTTGTAATATATCTTCTATTACTACTTTCATCAGTATTTATTTCTTCCATTTTCTTCATCATCTTTTATTTGATGATTTTACAATTGAAGGTATCACTAATTTCATCTGACTACCATACACCTAAATATTTATACAATTCCTCTCCTTCAATTATTGGGATGTTTTGCATTCAATCTGGTATTTTATTAATGTTCTTTAATACCATTCCTGATTTCTTTTCATTCATTTCCATCCCTATTCCACTTATTATTTCTTTAATTTCATTGTGGATTGTTCCCATTTCTTCACTATTTGTGTCATTATTCTCAAATCATCCATATACAATGTATGGTTTGATTTTGGGAACTTCTCTTCTATGATTTGAGAAATTATATTCATTTTGATGAAGAAGAGTAGAAATGATAATGAATCACATTGTAAAATTCATCAATTTAATACATCCTAGATATTCGTTGTATTTATATCCTATGAATATCTTCCATCTGTTCATCATACTTTCTACAATATCTATGATGACTCCCTCTACATTAAAATATTTAAGTGCTTCTATTACCAATTCATGATTTACTGTTTCATATGCTTTCTTAATGTCATAATATGACTCTACATATTTTGTGTATTTCTCTTCTTTTTGTTGTTTTAACATATAACTATTAATTAATCCTTCTTTATCAGCAAGAGATTGCAGTTTACATCCCAATTGATTTTTACTAATTTTTAATGATTCACTATTCATGTTAATTCTATTGTGAGTCTTATCTTTCAATATTGAGGTAAATACTTTCATTATTACATTTGTACAACTGATAGGACGATAATTAATGATATCGTTCATATCACCTCCTTTGTGGATTAATATAGTTCTTCCACTTACCATATCTAGAGGGATGTTTTCATTGAAGTTTAACCATTCATTGAATATATTAAGAATGGAATCTCTTGATGATGAGATTCTCTTCAATATACCCATATATAGTGTCAATACCTGGTGCTTTCCAATTACTTATTTTCATCATAATAGATTTAAATCATCCAATGTGATGATGACACTATCATATTCCTATATCTT